GTGTGTGTGTGTCTAGGCCTCACGTCCTCTCTGAAAATGTCCCAAAGCCACTCACTCTAGCTCTCACTCAACCTCACTATGACTACTGGCACCCAGCGCTGTTGACTAGTTCCTATCAGCGCACAGCAGAGTATCCCACTACAGTTCAGCAGTGCTTCCCCCTGGTTACGCAACTGGACTCTTCTACCCAACGATTCGCCTTCCGGACTTCCTCTACTGGTTATGGGCTGGTACCCTCCGCCTTTGTTCATCGCTTCTGGAAGTTTGCGGGCTTTCGTGGGGCTTTGCTGCTAACTGGACCAAGTGATCAAATGGGCCTGCCGACTTCAACAGCCTTTTCCTAAGCCTGCCGCTATGTACCGAAATCTTCCTATGTCGGCCTACTGACGATAACCTACCAGGGATTCGGGAAAATGGTACATGTGACTGAGACTGGGACTGGAACTGGGACTGGTACCGGGGTGACAGCAGTGAAATTCTTTCAAAGATCATGATCTCCGGTAAATTTGACGTCTCATATCAAGTGTCTTTTATCTCATCCCTTTTTTGTGCTAAAGTTTGTGACTCGGTGTGAACATGACACATTCGATTGAAGAACGAACTCATTGCATTTTCAGAATTTCAAATCTTTCATCTTCTTATCCTTTTGAATGTGGCACTGGCCGCTTGTGTGGGCCTTGCCTGCCCCTCGGAACCTCAGGCCACCCAAATCTTAGCCTAGCTTCAAACAGCACTATCAGCCAAAGGTTTGGGGAATTTTTTCAATTAGCAGGTTACGTTTCGCAGAATACACTATGCAAGTTTAATACGAGGTTTGAGGTGGCCAAATATCATGTGTGGAGTGTGTGTCCATGTCACGCACAGACCAAACTGACATCCTCATCCGCATGATCAGACAAAGCTCCAGGTTGCTGAGATGATAACAATTTAACAGTGGTCTATGAGTCCTCTGAAAGCCGCAATTTTCCAATATGCGAAGCCAATTTCAAGGTATCATTTTCATTTGCTTTCTGGATTTCCAAGGGCATTGAATCCTACCTTCTTGTATTGCTCCAACCTCTTTTGCAGTGCTCGCACTGTAGAACTGGCTGCAGATGCAGAAGCTGGTCTTCGTGGGGATGAATTAATTTGTCTTTGCACATCTGCACATCCACACCACAAATAATTTTGCTATATGTTGCAAGTTCATCTGCTGCTGCTTCTATGGCACACCGTGAGGGGAGCAGGACGAACATGAATAACACACTGTTTACTCACAAGTGGTTAACGGGGACCCCCACTTTCAGCTCCTTGGTGAATGGGGAATTTCACAACTCCAAATTCAACCTCCAGAGCTGTTCATTCATCCCAGTTTCTGAAGAAAATCTCAGCGTCGGAAAAGCCAGGAGCTAACATCCTTTTTTTTTTTCTTTTTTTCTTTTTTCTTTTTTTTTTGCAGTAAACAGGACCTTATGGCCCTGGCTCCATTTCCATTCTGGGGAGCATCAGTCCGGTTCCTATTCCACCGGCAAGTCAGAATAAAGTATTACATCATGAAGACACACACACGCTTCCTTCCGTGTGGTCGAAGGACCCCTGACCAGCATTCATTACTCCAGTAACATGGAGGATTGACTGTCAGCTTGCCTTGCTTCTCCCTTTCCTCTCAGATCTACTGCGGCAGTCTGTCAAATAAGACATGAATAAAAATAAAGGCCCTGGGAGCTACCCCTGCTACCGCTTTTGCCCAAAAGCCTGAACTCCTTATATGAGCCTCTTGAAGACCCTGGTATTCTGACCTCTGTTTACTCTGTCTCTGTCTAAACCCTAAACCCTAAACCCTCAACTGTAATTCTGTGTTGATGAAAGCATCATCAGTCTTCCTTTCCTCTGGGCGAGGGAGTCCTTTCCCCTTTTGGATGTCACTTCATCCCTTATTCCTGTGCTCTTGCCGTGTTATCTTCATCTGTGTGAAATCACACTACGATTATTCAACTTGTCATGTATGCAAACAGCGAAACAGCAAATTGGCGACAGGCGCCCACTCAGTACTCAAGATGTCGTATCCACATAAGAGTTCTCTTCAAACTGGCTATGGCGACTGAGCGCCCACACAACTCAC